TTTTAGTGTACTGTTTTTTTGAGAATATTTTGTTTTGTTTTTAGTGCATTTTGTTTTGTTTTTAGTGTATTTTGTTTGGAAGTCGGTTTTCTAGGAAAAAATCCTTTAAAACAAAAACAACAACAGTTTGTAAGGCACATTTATTAAATTATTTCACATAACAAAAATTAAATACACTTATAAGACTAGTTTATTCTACATTGCAGATCTTCACTTTATTCTTAAAATTTCTGTCCCTTTCTACTCTAGTTTTCTGTCGTTACCACCAAAAATGTTTTGCCATATTTCCGACAGCCAACCAGTTTGGGGTTCCCTGTAGAAATAATCACTATTAAAAATAAATCTAGTCTTATTAAACTGAAATAATGTAAATATATTTATCCCTATCTTTCAGTTTCATAAGTTACGCAAATGTTTCACTTATAGACAGAGAGCCAACGATCGGCAGACATACGTCATTTTTGCATTGTAATTAAAATTGAGACATTTTTAGAACAGAGGTCTAATATACTACGAGCTCTTTACTTTTTATTTATTATTTATTACGGTACACTTACTGTTTCTTACAGTTGTACATAGCGTTTACTTTCCTGACGTCGCCTCGGCTTAGACCATCCCGCTGCCCTAGTTTCATTCCTCCAACCTGTCTCACAAGTAATGGCTTATCATAGTAAACATTATATTTCAGAGGTGAATTAGTTAAGTTACATATTCTTAATATTAAAATTCTCTAGTTAAATCAAAATTAACATACTCTTGTTTGAAATTTGCTACAATTTATACTCAAAAGCGCTTATTTCTCTCAAATTCCTTAGACGTTTAGTGTAATTAAAAAAAGTACCATACCTTAGGTTCGATGGTTTTCTTTGAGTTCCTGGAAAAGGCGTACTCAGAGTAATGCATTACACTGTTATAGTCGTAGGAGACGCCGTAACCAGTGGTGTAAGAAGTATCGGACTTCTTGAAATTGTTCTCAGAACCTGCAATATAATACAGATGTGCAGTAAAAAGTACTTAAAACATCGCATTGACAATGTCTTAAAGAAAACTTGACAATATGTTAAACTGAGTTGCCAATCCTTAACATGAAAACAAATAAAAGAAAATATTTCTTCCTTGGAATCTACCTATCTATCAGTAGCTATCTTATCATCATCAACCTGCCCTTGTCCCTTCGGAGGGTCGGCATGTACTTCCATACATCTCTATGAACCGTCATTGCTAAATTCACTCTATTACGTATATCTTCTTCCACACATTTAATTCACTTTCTTCGGTCTTCCTCTACCTTTGTTGCCATCTACATTAAATCTAATACATTTTTGTTTATCTCATCTCTTCCTCTCATCATTCCTAGCTATCTTCTACGGAAAATAAACGCTTTCTCTACATAAGCATCTTCCTTGCAACATAAAAATGCTTTAAGCAAAAACTTTGCATCTCATAACTCTAAGAGGGTGCTAAGAGGGAAATTTAAGACGTCTGAACTCTAGCGCTCGGTGTACCCTGATTGCCACTTGGCTCTTTTAAGTAAAGCTGAAAGTGTAAGTGCTACTCCACAACAAGCGTGCTCATTTTTACAGCGGTTGCAACATAGCTGTATATTTGAATCATCTATTTAACAGTTTACAAAATTATCATTGACTCAAATCCACTATTTATATATTGTAAGCCTTTAAGATAGAATTTAGTAACTATTTTGGAGAGCTACGTAATGAATATCGAAGTTTTTTGCTTGCTTGCATTGGAAGTACGATTCATTGTCTTCTATAGTTACTTTCATGCCTTTTTAATAAGAATCCAGCTTACCAGGTTTAATGTTATTATAATTAATAGTAACATAATCATCTCTCTCCGGCCGGCTCTGTTCGTGCGTGAAGCCAACTGCGTGCAGGATTTCATGCAGCACGGTACCCTTCTTGGACAGGCAACCTGGGATCTGCAGGTTCACTTCCTGACGACGCCCTGCAGTGAAAGAAATACACTAAGGGTCCTTCAAGAAGCTAAAATATCACCTTATCAAAGGCCAGCAATGCATTGTTTCTTTGCTATTGTGGATGTCCATGGTCGTCGAAGAACATCTCGATGTTCCGGCTGCTCGTTTGTCCCCTTATCTTATAAAAATAAAATACTCTCCCCACTTTAAAATTGTTAAATTATCACCATTAGAACTATTACAACTTTTCAATTTAATTGCATTATGAATATCAAATGACATTTCTGAAATTACCGCTAGCTGGTCAACAGTGGCACTATTCCTCGAGTTTAAGGATCTCAGTTAACAAAGACCACTTGCTTGTAGTAACTATCATTGGAGGTAACTTACCGATTCTTCCTACACTAGACCAGCAGCCTGTATTCGCACTAGTTATAGAGATGTAGTCCGCTTGTCCGTTGTATGGTACGAATCTCAGACACGTCAAACGGTGATAATCGGCGATTGCTCTCATGATGGTATCCCTCTGTTCTTGAGCTATACCATTCATCAATCAAGATATTTTATATGTTTGATTATTTAAAGTTAATTATTAAAATCGTATATTTTCTTACTGAAATGTCCGTCGATAGAGTAAGGTATGATGCCGTTTGGCCAGCGCGAAGTCTTGTCCTTCATGCCGTTGCGGGCGTGGTGCGGCGGCATCAGGATGTCCCCTTGACCGTAACTGCCCATCTCCTCAGGATTCATTAACGATGACTCCGACCATGTCGATAGGGCATCGCCTTAAACAAGAAATGAGTTGGGACAAATCTTAACTAAGAGATAACTTTTATCTGCTAAGGTTTTGAGATCACGTGGTTAGAGTAATAATTTCAAAATATGTAAAGATAAATTTTGTTTGAAGAAAATTTAACATAAGTAGCAGTCATAAGTCATTTATCAGGGTTTTTAAACTGTGATGAATGTTGAAGAAATAATTTACTTACCACTGTCATTGTTCGGCGTACCATAAGATTCTGGTCCTAAACTAGACAAATCTATATCCTCTCCATCTCCATCTATATTATTGTGGTCTAGATCATCAGGTAATGATATATCTACGTCTTTACTTAACGGCACTAAATCTAGACCAGAAAGTGACAGAAGTAAAAAAGTTAAATGTACCAACATTTTTTTTATTTCAGTTGAAAAGTACCAGGCAATTAGAAAGCACGTGAATGTCTGCGGCGAGGAAACGATGCGCTTGTTTTTTATAGAGGAAACGAGGACCTGTCATAGGGTAAACACACACATGTGTTTTTATAGTTTATGACCGACAAGGTTCATTACTCCTACTTCCTGATAAAGGATGTGCAAACTAAAAACGTTGACGAATCGATAACGCAAACCTTGAAGTTTTGCGTTTTTACAAATAATACTAGGACATTAATTTATGATTTTTAGTACAACTAGCTCAGCACCTGCTATCTTACGCTAGTTATAATCGTCCTGAGCATTAGTAAATCTTCGAAATGATGAATTCCAGATGTATGCTAACGATTGCGGGACCTACAGTTTTCTGAAAGGCCGGCAACGCATCTGTAGTTCCTCTGGTGTTGCAAATGTCAATGGGCGTTGTTGACCACCTCTGTGTTCCTGCCGCTCGTTTGCCCCCTTCTGTAAAAAAAAACCCTTGTCTATATTAATATTATAAAGAGGAAAACTTTGATTGTAATGAATAGGCTCAAAAACTAATACCCTCTGAACTTATAAACAAAACAAAAACATAGGTTATATTATTTCATTTCTTTATTATTTTTAAATTTCACGCGGACGTAGTCGCCGGTAAAAGCTAGTTTGTTATAATACGGATTAAATCATAACGCTTCTAGAATTATCCTCTTCGTTACGCCAAACTTTTTACGATTATGTAAAGTTACTGAGGTCAAAATATAGACAAATAGCTATTTGTTCTAGGGATTTTCAAATAATTCAACATAATACTGATGTAATATAATATTAAGAAATAAACGTAACTTTTCCTGTTATCATGTATTTGGATTTAAAACCTAATTAAATTGTAAATAAGGAAATGTTAAATTCTTTTATGTTATTTTTGCGATGATTACAATCTTATCTAAACGGATATACAAGGTTCCGTTGTTTGCCGGAAAATGTCTATTATATGAACACCTTCGAATATTTACTGATAATCAAAAATATTGTGATTCATATATCGTCGGTTTTCACTAACTATTGAAATTGAAATTTATTGACAAATAACAGATTAACAATTAACAATAAAAGTTATAACCAATTAAAAGATAAATACAAATTGTGGTTAAAATGCGTTGATCTGGTGATGCCCACACTAGGCAATGCCTGTATCGTGGGCATCGAAAACAGCAGGAAAAATATTTTTATACTTTAATTATTAAAAACTTACGCTTACGGCGTTTCGGTATTATTTATGAAAAAAAATAAGAATAAGAATAAGATAGAAAAAAGAATTTGTTCTAATCTTACTAATATTATAAATGCGAAAGTTTAGAGTGATGGATGTTTGTTAGAGTTTGTAGCCTAAACGGCTGAGCTGATCTCGATGAAATTTAGCATAGACGTAGAGGATAGTCTGGAAGAACACATACTCTACTCACTTTTGTCTTTTTGAACTCCACGCGGACGGAGTTGCGGGCAAAAGCTAGTACAGACATAAACCAATGTACTATATAAAAATTGTCCTAAAATAATTTTGTGTATTACAGCATTTAAAACCGGGAACTTAAATTTTTTTTTAATTTTTGAAGGAAATAGTCTGGGCCTTTTTTAAAATGTTATGTTAAAATATTCAAATGCAAAAAGTAAAGGTACAAATTACGCATATCCGTTTGTGAATGAAATAATCAGTAAAGTACTAAAGTGCATGCAAATTATGCATTTTGCCTTCTGTTTACGTAATAGTTAAGCCTTACTATGTATTTAAAATATTATTTTGTTATATCTTGTACTAAGTTCTTATTAAAATTGGTAATTCTTATACAGTATTTTTATATTTGATTTAAACAACTTAATCAATTAATAAGTTTTATTATTTAAGAGCACACTTACACAAGACTATCTAAAAAGCAAGAGGCGGAAGTTAAAGAAAAAGCGAGACACATGCATAGAAAGGAAACATTCAGAAATGAGTTATAATATCTCACAAGTAAGATTAAAAAAATTCAAGGTTCGATATAAAATCTTGTTTCAATCTGAAGTTTTGTTTTATCGTTTATTTTCTATTGAACTTTACTTTTGGTTTTTACAAGCCTTTACATTTTTTTACAAATACACAATACATGTTACATATTCAGTTACCATTATCAAACAAACTGTATATGAAAATCTTACTAATATTATAAATGCAAAAGCTTAGATGTACGGATGTATTAGAGTAGCCTAAACTGCTGAACGGATCTCGATGAAATTTGGCATAGATGTAGAGGATAATCTGCAAGAAGACACACTACTTACTTTTGTTATATTTAATAGGCAACATGCATATGACGCCAAATTGTACCAAACCTTTTTAAAGTATACTTTATAACTATTAAAATATTCCTGCAAAGATTTTTTTAAATACAATGTGATTTAGTAGCAAAATTTAATCATTAAAAAGTGTCTTTTTTAAAATTCCCTCGCTAAGTTCTAAAACGCACACTATTGGTCGAAACAAGTGGCTTATCTAATATGGCGTCGCTGTGTTGACAATACACAGTTCATTTACATTAGTTTATATAGAAATATACTCTTGAAGTCTTTTACTGTAAACACGATATCAAAACCAACTTTAAAATAAAAAATTAAAGAAAAGTATTATTAATTACCACTTATTTGTACCAGGAATAATAAAAATGAATCGATTTTTGACTTTTTGACCTTGAGATACTTTGTTGTTTTTTACATCGAAGTTACATCTGAGCGTATGTTATGAATGGAATAAGACGATTGACGTCAATTGTCTCATGTCAACTCTGGTCGCGTTTTAGTCGCTCGAAAATGGTCGTAATTTTATTTTTTTATTTTTAGCTCAATGACTGAATATTTTTGCGTCAATTTTTTTTCTGGTTATTTTATAACAAGTAGAATCGTTTAAAAAAGAAAAAAAATACATGCATATTCCCTATTCCACGCGCACCGAGTCGCGGGCAAAAGCTAGTAGCAAATAAAAATTATCTAATAATTAACTAACATAGAGGCGGTTCAAGCAACTCTTAATTACTTAAGATATAACCATAAACTTAAGACATCGTAAAATTGGGAAAGATAAACTAAGGAAATGGCGGGCCCGTATCACTGGGGTAGCGTCAAGTCTAGTTAGTTTTATTAACCGACTTAGGTAAACTGTCGTCGACAGTGGGAGGGATATAGGGGGAAGATGACCCCCACATCTAGAGAATACAAAAATGTAGACATCAAAACAACTTCGAATAAAACCATACAATTTTATTAATTATGGATAACTTTAAAAAAAAAAAAACAAACAAAAAACTGAAGGCCAATTACAAGTTATCGCAGATAATGCCCCTCCCCAGACCTAGCCAGATTATCGGTTGGCGACGAAAATGTAGGGTAATTTAGGGAATTTGTATGACTAATCCGTGAACCCCCTGTAGCGCGTACGACTGAACTGATTTAAAGTTTTTTTTTTAACGAAGAGTGGTATTGAATCTTGAAAGATAAACGAAATTTAGAAAGATATTTCGATTTTATTTTTGACTGACTTCACAAAAGTAGACTCAAGTCGTCTGTATGTTTTTTTTTTCATTTTTTTATGTGTGTTACGGCATAACTTCGCCGCTAATGGAGCGATTTTGATAATTTTTTTTTTTATTTCCAGTACGTTTGCTTATTTGAAAAAAAAATATATAATTTCTTAATAATCTACTTGGGTAAAATAAAACTGCGGCAATAAATATGCAATTTCCTGTATTTCTAACATAATAGAACTTTATACACTACGTAATTTATATTTACATGAGCATTTTCGCTTCGCAATAATATTACAATTAAAATAATTTTTTCTCTTTATATTATTTTACAATTTTTTTATTCGAACTATATTAATAATTAATAATTATTTATATATAGGCAAAGTGACAAAATATACACTTCAGAGGATCAAAAAAATACTGTTTTTTTATCTTGAAACAAAACTTAATGACTGATTTGAAATATATTTATTTATTATACATAGAAATGATATTAAAAATTAAAAACACAAATGAGGAGAGCTAACCACAGCCAGAAACTATGTAAACATAGTACAAATTGTTACTAGGAGATAATAAACACGAAGAGTATCTATTGCGAAATAAGGTCGATATTATCGCTTAGCGAAAAAGCCATTGCTTGTCTAATGAGGTAGCTGATAGAGCCGTTCAAACAAAAGGATCGATGTACAAACGCTACCTCCATTTATAGATAGTCTTTCAAATACAATGAGTAATTGTGCGTTACAGTATAAAAATATAATTTACAAAAAGTTTTGTAGAAATTTTAACCTCAGATTAAATAATATGCATAATAAAGTTTCATAAATAAATAAACTTTATTATTTGACAGTAGCAGAAAATTACTTCAACTAGGCGAAGGAGTAAAAACTTAAATTGCAAAAGGTTTGATAAATATTTATGATTCTCCAACATATTAATTAACCTGAGATCTTAAGTACTTCACCTATGGAAAGTTCAATACATGATTTTTATAATTTCCTAGTACATTATAAACTAAAAGGCTATTTTGCAGTCTCCTAGAACAATCGTATAAAATTTTAGAAGACGATTTGCCAATTCTTAAATGTCATATGGATAATAAATTATAAAAATAAATAAATAATAAAATATACAGACATCAGGAACTAATAATAATCAGGAATAATCACTTTGGAGCCTAGATTTTCTTATTGCACAAGGGGAATAGTTAAAAATAATTTGAAATGTTCAAAATAATGGGAGTTAAAGCTCGTAAGAGAAATGCGTACAACCGAAAAGACTCAAAAACTACACACAACTCTTTATTTTTGAAAACAATTTACCAACTATATTGGCACATATTGCTTTAAAGAACACTTATGTACAGTCGCGTTAATCCGCGGTGTGCCACTTCTAGATAAATTGCCTTGTTCCTTGGTAACGAGACAAACTCCGCCTCTACCATAACTAATTCGGTAACAGTGACTGGGTAGTAAAAAATGTACCACTAACCGACTTTTTTCATATAGACACATTTAAATTCCTATTGGTCATCGTCTCAATGCGTAAAAGGGTTAAAACGACTTTAGCATCGAAAGTGGAACACCGCCAAATTCTCTGATTGTACTTCATAACGTGGTTAACAAGATAACGCGTAAGACTGCAAACTTAACAATTGCTGAAACAAACGGAGCTACAGTAAATTTTATAACTCTTAAGTATACAAGATCTTAATTTTATAATTACAAACTCCATTCAGCCAAGCTTGTCTTTAAAGTCACAGTATAAAATGAGTTACCAAAAGATGTACAAAATTCTAATCGGAAAATGCAATAAAAAATAATAAATAGCTCGAGTAGAAATTCTGATTAGCTTGACTGAATTTTTTACAATTTAAAAAATCAGGTAGGCACACTTTGAGGACGGCCGCTCGGCCCACACCAGACCCGGAGAACAGAAAAGCACCTGACCATCTACCATCAGTTCCACTTGAGAAAGTGATAGCGTCTGAATGCATGACATACAACTTCTGGTCTCCTGGTACACCAGCTCATATCACATGCTAACTTTTTTAAAATTTTCCCGCTTCCGCGACACGTATAAGCCACATAATTTTTAATTTAACAGCTAAATTACAATTTATTGACTTTAAAACACACGATTATTATTAGAAATTGACAACACCTAAAGACGTCTTTGTACAGAAGTTCCAGTACTACAGCTAACTGCACACATCACAGATAAATATAGAAAAAATAAACAATTTTCTTGTTACAAACATTTTCGGTTAAATCTAAAGTTTTCAGAGTGGATAGATTTTTAGGCGCAATAACATCCCACTAATTACAATTATATCCCCTTTTGGAATGGTTAAGCTCGCTACGTTTTCAGTTCTGACAGTTTTAACTGAACCTTCTCTTCTTTTATAGAAACTCTAAAAGAAGAGTAGAACTGTTCAGTTAAAACTGTCAGAACTGAACGTCTATAGCCAGCTTTATTTAGTTTCAAATCCAGTACATAATGGCTTAAAGTGAAATAACAATTAGGAAATCATTAATATAGCCTGACCGGAAATATAACCCTCGACATATTGCGGACGAATATGGAACTATCTTCCCGTACATAAATAGAAAATAAGATTTTTATGTTCTGGGTTAGGCTATACAGATTCAAACTGAAATTAAAAACACAGCTCGAAGTTTAAAATTGATTAGTTAAGATGTGTTAATAAAACAAATATATTTGATTTACCACATGAATAAAATATTGGAGTAACATTAAAACCCCTTCTCTGATTTGTAAATCAATATAATTTCTTTGATTGTTAGATTTCTACTAAAGAATTCCAAATTCTTCCGTCATTTTAATATAATATATAATTTTGCTCCCTATATCTATCGACATTAATAAATAAATATTAAATAATATTTTACATTCATCCCGTTTACATTATTGTATACAATCACATTGTGGAATTTATCTGTAGAAAAATATAAAATGAAGTGTACACTTGAAGTTTCAACAGTTCGGCACATAGTGTCCATGATTTGTCACTTTCCTATAACTGTCCCATATAAACAGTACGAAATATGTGTAACTAAAACATCCAAACGGTCTTAACATAAGACGATAATCGAGATGCTGTCTCTTGCAAGCATTCTGATGTCTGATTAAGGAATGGTTACCGCATCCATCTGAGGTAGTAGGTGACTTCTCGAGTTCGTGACGTAATAAGTATGACGTCATCATTATTGCTCTCATTGGCAGTACAAGTTATTCTATTAAACATGAACAGGACATTAATACATTGTATGCGTTCAACCAACCACGGACGAAATGTCTTGATGAAGCATAAATTTATGAGGAAAATATTTCTCTATCTACTGTTAACGAAAACTGCTTGTTTCTGGATTGTAAAAGAATCTTCTAGAAAGCGCTTGGATTATAAAAACTGTCTGTCTCTTCTTTGAAAAACTTAGCAACATAATGAAGAAGTACCAGGCGATAATAAGGCGTAGGACGGTTTCGTACAGGAGACACCTTCACGTGGAGGGCGCGGGCGGCGAGTGGGCGCTGGACACCACGACCACTGGCTTCACGATGGTAGTCGAACTCAGGTACTGCGTACTGACCGTCATAGGCGCCACACTGCCACTGCCTTTCACCACTTGAGTTTCTACCATCTAAAACATAAAAAATATCAATGACTCAAATATTCTATGCCCAGAGTATTTAAGATTAATATTTTTAGATATTAAAATCGTCCAAGACATTCAGTAACGCGAATCGAAACACTAGTCTGACATCGTGACGTCATTGCGCTATTATTGTTGATATTTCACAGTACAAAAATCAGTACTACAATTCAGAATTCAGTACCACAACAAAATACAGCGATACGTTTCTACTCTGCACGGCGTGACGTCAGTGCAGCAGCCATGACAGGTTATTGTGTTTTTGCGGGACTTTATCACAAAATATACAATTTACTTGTGTATTTACTTATCTATGTTTTTTGAATAAATTATAAGTACAGTCAAGGAAATCCGCAGTGTTCCATTATTAGAAAAATTACATTGTTCATTGCAACGAGACAAACTCCGTCTCTTTCTAAAAATAACTAATTATTATTATAATCGTTGTATTGGTTTTTGTTTCATGTCTCGTTAAAAATGTTAAAACGTCTGTAGCTTTTGAGTTGGAACACCGCCAGATTCCCAGACTGTACAATTACAGAATTATTTTCCATTTGTTACTCAAAAGACTATTAGATTTTCTTTTAATTTTGAATTAACCTTGTGTGTGAGCGTGTGGGTCTGCAGGAGGTGCGTGCCGGACTGGGACATCACTAGCGGCGTCAATCCGCTTACCACCACGCTACCACCTTCTGCAAATATTAAAAAAAAATTAAACCGAATGTTCTCGATATGTTCCGCTGTTCACGGGCGAAATGCTAGTAATTTAAACAATTTCTATTTGAATAAATATGTATTACTAGTTTTCGCCCGCGACTCCGCCCGCGTGAGATTAAAAAAGCAAAAGCAAGTAGTCTATGTGTTTTTCCAGACAATCCTCTACATGTTTGACAAATTTTATCGAGAACCGTTCAGCAGTTAGGGCTACAAAGTTTAACATAAACGTCCATTCATTCATTATAATATTAGTAAGGTTTAATTTCGTGTTTACCTGTTGAAACCGGTGCTGAGGACACCAATCCATTTTCTTTTGTTATCCTGCTGTTTTCAGTATTCACGACGCCTGCAGAAGATCAAAATTCTTATAGGTTTAAAGTGCAAAGAATATTTTAAAAATTAATTTACGAAAATATCTCTTTAACAAATATAGGCTAAGTCATAAATTTTTATCAAAGATCACAATACAAAGAGATTCAAATATATAGAGGAGACGTAGTTGACATTTGAAACATTTTTCACGTAATCTTCACTTACGCTATCTTAATAGATAATCAATACCACATGTCAATATCATTAATTACATTTAAATTAATTGCCAATAAGTGTCAATAATTGATATTTAAACATTTTTACTTTGTAACACTGTTTAGTTTATTTTATAACAATAGATGGAGCTTATTTTAATTTTATAAACCAAGGACACGATGTGTATTCTCAACTTTGGTACCTTTCAGAGAAAGTACCGATGAGAAAATTTTATTTACTCTGCCTGGTCTATATATTATTCAAATGTCTTTGTCACATAGTCACAAAATTGACAAAGTCAATTTGACGGAATTTGTCAACCGTGATATTTGTTATTGTTTTAATATAATTGTACTAGGACAACATAACTTACCATTAGTATGCACTGCGGGCGCCTGAAGCACGCGCAGTCCGCCGCTCGCTGACAGCAGCTGCAGCGCTGCGGGTGCGACCACCACCTGGAATGCAACATTGATTCCTGAGTTTCCACTGTTATACACATGTATAAAAACATTATTATCCTACTTAGAAATTTAAAACAATACCAATGCAATATTACTAATCCATTATTTTTTTTAAAGGTTCTTTATAAGATGCTCACCTGAGAAAGAGGAAGATGTATTTGAGCAGGATGTACTAAGGTGCTAAGCGTGTTGGTGACACCATTCTCCATTACTTGTCCATTCTAGAAAAAAAATATATGTTATGCACTTTTTTCAATATTTATTTTATAACAATGATTCAGTATGGGATGATATTCTATTTATCACAAATCACTCGTTAAAATTACCTGCGTATTTGTTTCGGCTGGACCGAGTGTGGTTAAAGTTAAAGTGTTGTGATGTCGAGATCCATACGAAGTTCTCACCACCTGTAAATTTAATTAAATCATATATTTACATATTTCCAAAACAACTTACTACATTATTACTATAAATCAAATATCTTGAATAATAAACAATCGTCATAAGGTAAATTGGAACGCGTAAAATGGAACGGGCGGCCATTTTGTGTGTAAATCCTAATCCCCGATTAGGTCAGCTCTAATTTCTAACGTAGTACCAGGCGAGCATACCTGTGAAGTGGTTGGCGTGATTTGTATAGGCAGCGCGCGCAACTTCGTACTTAAGTTTAGGGTGCGGGGGGGTGATGAATCCATTTGTGACGCGGATCGTGGCGGAGATGACGTTATCTAGAATTTAATTATCTTTCATTAATTTATTGTACTATTACTTAAGTAACTTTATGCAAAAATAATTACCACTTACACTAACTGGTATTCCTAAAACTTGATCATTAGCAATGGTGTCTTTCTCATCTATTCCATCTGAAATAATAGAAGCGTTTCCATAGTTATAAAACATTCATTTCCCTTGCGTTCGAATTCGAACTTGATAAACTATAAGGCAAATTAAAACAGATATAACGTCACAAAGAGAGGTAAATTATTCTAAATTAAAAGTGACGAGAGGACACAAAAGGTCACTCCACTCTACGACACGTGTACACGTTATGTAATCACTAATCGTTCTATACAAAATATCAAGGCAAACATAAGTCGCAAAAAAACTAGCTACATTCGTCTTATAACTTAATTTAGCTTAAGGAAAAAAGTCCAATAACTTCATTATGTATGGAATCGACCTAATGACAATGACAATACAATCGAAAGCAAAATAACTTTAACTAAAGTGTACCAGGAGAGCATATCACACGCGTAAGTTACCTATGTTACGGGGCCGCACGCTGCTGCTTCTTACGGAGACTTCCCGCCTCAAAGCAGCGAGCCGTTGTTGCGCGGCGATCTTTTCGCGAGCTAATCTCTCCATCTCATGTTCGCATTCGCGCTCTTTGCGTCGCAGTACCTGTGAACAATGCCCAGGGAATCTTGATAAAGGCTGTAACACTTTTACTGACAAAAGAGCCTAGTCATGAGACTAAACAACGTGATAAGAAAACATTGCAAAATATATTACATCTCTTCAAGTGTTCTGCGCTCCTAGTGATTTATTAATAATTGCAATAACTCAAAAAGACAGTCAACCGAAAACCGACGGATTCTTTATGACGTAAAATTATTATTTACCTGTATATACCGGATGGCTGAGCCTAATATTGACAGGTTGGAAGTCTTCTTATCATCTGATGTCGCTGGCAACTGTCTCTTGAGCAGTTCAAAGCACTCCTTGAGATGTGCGCGTCTGTTCTTCTCGAGCTTGTTGTGGACCTCCCGAGTGCCGGCTCTTGGCGTGCACCCACTGCTGCCACTGCCACTGCCGCTGCTGCTTACTAAAGGAGGTGATGGGATTTGCGGCAGCCTATAGACAAATGAAACTATGTTTAGGAAGAGTTGAGAGTAGACTACTAGAATATGGCAATAACAAAGGGAAATTTTTTAAAAAATTTTACCGGATATGTACAGGAGTAAAACAAAATGGACAGATAAATCAAATAGAAATAATAAAAATTGTTCAAAAAGTTTACTTTCAATTTAAATTCTCATTTCTATTATCTTTTCTCTTTTGTTACACGGACAAAAAACTCCTCATATGAGTGCAAGGTATTACAGACGAAGGCATAAACTTGTATACGCATATCGCTGCATTAATGATGCATGCAGCAAGCAAGGCCCCATCTGTCCACTGATGAATAATAACACGGCAAATCGTATTAATATTCAATACGGTTTCGTTAATATCCAAACCTTGGCAGCAATCGGATGATGACAATAAATAAATCAAATGCAATGTACTGACATCATATCGCCGGGACGCTGGCAAGGATAAACTTATTATACCATTGTGACCCCTTTCCATTTCTTTTACATTTATTTCTATTAAGTCCCTCCATGTTCCAGATCTATCTAATCAATTCTAAGGATACACTCGTTTATTATTGTTACTACGCAGGTAGAGTTACCTACCATACGTACAAAAGTCATATTAGTCCGTTTATATTTTTAGCTTTGAGCGTTTATTAAATACTGCTTTAGGAACAAAATTAAGGCAAAGGTTTTTTGGACTAATTTCTAAAGGAAATCCGACTGATCTGAATTACAAGGATTGCTTCCATGTCTTCACGTAAAAAGTTACTACGAAAGTCAATCTCATGTTTTTGCTGTTACTCTGACGACCTCTTTGGACGTCGGAGTATGATGTTTATAATACTTTTGTGCGAGACAAAAGTATCATAAACATTGGCTAAAAAAAGAACTGGTTATAAAAGAATCAACCAGTGAATTCTGAGGCGTAAATACTCGTCGTGGCAAAAACGGCGCTCTATCGGCGCTCGAATGCCCCAGCTGTTTTGAACGTCGCAAGTACTAGGAGAACATGAAACGGTAGAGCTTACCCATGACTGTTGCTCATAGTGCGCGCCCTGGAATGTTCTTGTACGAAATCGAGGAGGGGCGCAGGGGGGATGACAGCCGGCGCTGGGGGGATCACAGCGGGCGCGGGCGGTGGGTCGGAGACGATGATGGCAGGCGCGGGGGCGGGGGCAGGGAGTGGGGCGGCGACGGGGAGCACCGGCGTCGTCGGGCGCACCACGCCGTTGCTGCGCGCCGGCACCGCTACTCCGGTCACCACTCGCACCGACAACGGCGACTTCGGTTCCTCCTCTGTAAACAAACGACCACACGTCAGAACAACCTTTCCGTTTGAGACGCAACGATGCTCAATATGCGTTTTCATGAGAATAATTCGCGAATAGGCTCTCTCACGCTCACATTACCGCGGTCAGCACTTGTCAAACCCGTGTCAAACGCTCGTCCGCGGCTGCAATCCCTGGCGGTAAAGTACCAGGCGAGCATAAACGATCAGTAGTTAACTTTATGTTGTGAACGAAACGGGTATATGCCAAGTGTGAGATAGCAACATGACGACAGCCACGCTGTCAAGATAACTTTTTTTGTAATCTTAAACCTTATGCGTTGGTAATAAGACTTAATATCACATATTAGGTAATTGTAAAGCATGCTAAACCGGTTACCAAAACAATTTATAAACACGGCCTTTAGAAAGAGAGGGCAATGGAGGCGTGTCGCGCGATGACATGACGTCAGAACGTCTGCCTCAATTTTACGTTTTATAACATTGACAATCAGCTGGTCGAGAGAACAGCGTACAAAATCTTGCTATTAGAAAAATAGAGAAATTAATAAATGTAATATGAAATACACCTATCAAATGTAGACTTGAAATAATAATTTACGACAACGATCGATCCATAAGTCGTTTACGTAAGAGATATATTTTCGATGGTTTATTTAGTATAAAACGTATGTTTAAAATACAATGATAGAAAATTCGTCCTCCGTGCGACCCAGCTAATATTGGCCGCCGAGCGTTGACCGAACTTGCTTTCTTTTTGTATTACAGAAGTGAATATTTTACATAACAATCTTATTTTTAGTTTCAGCTCAATAGATCGTATTAAACCTATCAAGGTTTGTGGTTGCTTAAGACAATAAACAATTTATTAAAAGTAAAAATCACCCTCGATTTAGGGGTTAAATATTAATCAACGTTAATTACGCACTCATCAGCTACCCCAGTTAAACTCCTGTCAATATCGTTCAGTTGTTTTAGATGTAATTCGGAATATCCGCGAATTTGCAGACGGACAGTCACAATTCGTTATAAGAAACGCAAATACGCAATCATGGGTAATCAATATGATCTTGAAATATTTCACACAAACGCTGCAAATATTAGTTGTATAGATTGACTAGCTGTCGCCCTCGACTCTGGACGGATTAAAAAAAATAATAAAAAATGCTAAGTAGCCAATGTGTTCTTACAGACTATGCTCTACATCTGTGAGAAATTTAATGGAGATACGTTCAGCCGTTTAGAAGGCAGCTCCTACAAAACATACAAATTTTGGCATTTATAATAAAACTAGCTGTTCCCGTGCGGCTTCATCCGCATGAAATTATGAATGTTTTATTTTATTGTTTACATTTGTCAAATTATCAATAGCAAATTTCAATATATGACATGAAAAACCTTGACAGTCTTACTTCCTTGGTGTTGGCAGCAACTTATGGTCTCTTTTGCACAGGGTTTTTATCCAAAATCATTACCCCCTAAGTTTAAAGGCTTGAAAATATATAGCCTAAAGCGTGAAGTATAGGGCTTTTTATTAAAAAAAAGAAAAAATCAAAAATATGCTGTAGTTGCTGCTTAGGCAACAAAGAAGTGTGTGTTTACGCTTTATTATAATAGTATAGAAATGTAAATAAAAATATAATGTGGCGAGTTATTACGGAACAAAAATCGATATTCTCGTCTTACCATCCCTTTTAATAATAACTAGTGAAAGCATTTACAAACCCGACTCTCTCCCCAAGGACCCTAGCGCAAATTGCCCTTGACCTTTCCTGTCCTACCTGAACCCAAGGTCAATTCATTCACAAAACAAAACTGAGAATAAAAAAATAATAGGAGATCATAGGATCGGAGTAAGTGACCGCGTTATTCAAATGTTTCGTATGAATAAAATGATTCGGTTTTAGAGGTGCTTTGGTTTCGGGGCTGATGAACCCATGACATTGACAGATATCCTAACTTTGCATAGAAAAGAAATCTATTTAGGTATACGAGTATATTTGAGAAAATATGTGTATCTATACAAATAATTGGACAATGGAAACTTACAGTTATAATAAAACTAGCTTTGGCCCGCGACTCCGACATTCGACACTCCGCGTGGAATTCAAAAAAAACAAAAGTGTTTTTACAGTCCCTCTACATCTATGCCAAATTTCATTGAAATCCGTTCAACAGTTTAGGCTACAAACTCTAACAAACATCCATCCATCTAAACTTTCGCATTTATAATATGAAAGAAATGAAGAAAGAAAGAAAGAAAAGAAGAATGTAAGAAAGATTAGTTATTTTTACAGTGACCGCTAACTATGTTATGTACATTTAGATGTTCGTAATGGCCGTTGTTTATATTTCGTATTTTTTTAATCCAATAAACCACATGAACGGATACGAAAAACCTTGGAACGGACTTTCGTATACCACGCTCCGGACACACCTCTTTTATTAGTAGATTTTAGTATGTTATTTATTTTTAGTTTTTATTTTATAGGTGTACTAAACGACTAAATATGACGGACTATAAATTAATAGCTTTTTAAAAATAAATTAGAATACAGATAAATAGTACAAAATCATAAAAAGTATATTTTTTATTGTTAAAATATATGTGGTAAGTAAACTAAAAATAAAAACTTACATAATGAAAATAAACTTTGAAGCTTAAAGCTGTCTGACGCAAACGCTACCAGGGTAACATAGGCAGTAGGGTTATGCAACAGGGGTGGGGCCGGAACGTGCGTCACAAGCTCGCGGGGGTTTACACTAGAAACTACTGACCTGCGCAAATTCTCTACAATTTAGAGAAACCAACAAAATATGAATTCTCCTAAGCCAGATAGTCTCGACAATTTCAGTATACAGTTTACAATTAACTAGGTGATAATGTATTTGAGACTCAGATCATGACTAAAGAAGACATTGACAGTATTTAAAGTTGGGTGTAGCTGAGAGATATATGCGTAAAGTACTTTGTTATAAATATAGTAGATATAAAAAAAAATAAGTAGCAATTTTTGGACTTTTTAATGGAAAATAGGCGCTCAGTCCAAAAGATATTGTTACCAAAGGCCATCAGGCCTTTTACTATTTTTTTTTTCATTTATTATTTTCAATTAGAAAAGGTTGAATCTTGCAATTAACATTATATCTTTATTCTTTAGTAAGAAAGAAAACGATTTAAAGCAAAACTCAAGTGGTAAATTTTGCACGAGTGACTGGATTTTGAATGTTTCTAGGGGAAAATTGTAAGCTCTCGAGAAGTTATGCTCGCCTAGTATAATTGCGCATGGCGGCGCGCGTTTTTGACGGACATTCGCCGAACGGGTTTTCTCTACCTCCCACCATTCTGTCTGCGATCCGCTACATTCGTATAACATTTTCAGACATTTAAGAAAATACCTTTTTTAAGGAGTATTTTTTTACGTTTTAAGCGATATTTTAAGTGAAAACAGGAAATAACACTAATAAAATAACGTGCAATCCAGTCATTGTGATAGACGCGGGTGACAGGCAGCGGTTACGAAGCAGGGGCCTGCACATGATAAGCTGGGGGAGTGTGGGGGCAGTCGAGGGTGAAGGGCCCCGGGGGAGGGGAAGTGAGGGGCAGAGTGGTGGGGAAGCTCGAGCCGACACGTGACAGCGAGTCACGCGGTCCGAACTCTCCCGAGCGCATTTGATGCAACAAAGCTCAAGAGCGAGACGAAAGAGGGCCCCTCAGCCTAGTGCACAGAGTACTTTGTAACATACTGAAATAGAGACCAATCTTCGGCCTAAAATTGGGTAACACGAAGAAAAGCGCCATCTGTATTTCA